TTCTGTGTGGGAGCAAACTGTTGAAATCTTTACTTAATGTATGCTAAACTGATCTTCTGTATATAAAGAAATCGAAATGAATCTTGATGTGATGGAAGGGGAGAGGGAGTGGAAAGGGAAGGGTTGTGGTGGGAGGGACGTTATGGGGGGAAGCCATTTAATCCATAAGCTGTACTTTGGAAATTTATATTCATTAAATAAAAGTTAAAAAAAAAAAAGAAATCTGAATATAGCTTAACATGTGACCCAGCCATCCCACTCCTGGAAATGAAATCAGCGTATGAAAGAACTATCTGTACCACCATGTTTATTGCAGCTCAATTCACAATAGCAAGACATGGAATCAACCCAAATGCCTGTCAACTGAAGACTGGATAAAGAAATTATGGGATATGTCACAACAGAATACTAGACAGCAGTAAAAACAAAACAAAAAACTAAGTCCAGTCATTGCATCAAAATGGAAGAAACTGGAAATCATACTTAGTGAAATCACTCAGTCTCAAAGGGACAAATTCTCTATGTTACCCCTAATGGTGATAACTAATAGAGCACCTAAGGGACACTAATTCCATTTTGAGCCTTTTAACACAAATTGTAACAGAATCACACGGCTGGATGGTAATAATCTTATCTGGATAACGGGTAACATCGACAACAGTGCACCAATGTGCAAAGATAGTTTGGTTCCAGAACTTAGCCTCCACAATTGACATCTGGAAGCTAATAATACAACATTGAGGACCAAAAGATACTAGAGCTTTCATACTGCCACTGGAGACACATCTGTGACTCCACTCTTTGCAAGTTTTCATTCTGAAAAGACATTGTCCACCTGAGGCTATGCTGGAGTGCAGAGTCCTTTCATTGCTGATTATTTGATGGATCCACATGCATCTATTGTGACCTTGAAGAGGTTCATCTTCGCGGGCTGTTGTATAATTTCCTCTACTAACACTGTTTGTTAATTTCCTCACTACTCTACTTGAGTAATTTCCTTTACCTATTTTTCCTATATGTTCATGTATCCCCTTTTACAGATTTTTGTTTGTTTTGTTCTGTGAGTGTTGCAATAAACTGATTAATTTAGGAACAAAAAAATAAAGGAAAAATTGAGTTGTCTAAGAAGATCCTAATTTATAGCCTGAATGAACAAAATGGATTATCCACCAAGTGACTGGGAAAAGATTAAGGATAGAAAACAGGGCTGTTTTCTTATCTATATATTTTCTCATTTTCATTTTTTATTTTTTTAAAAATTTTATTTCTCTGGGGCTACGTGCAAGGATGAGGTGAAGATCAGAAACTCGGTTTCAACAGGGGATTATTAAATTTAAGATTTTATAGACATTTAAGTGGCTATGTCTGTATACCATATAGTTTAGAAGGAAGAAGTCTGGATTGAAGTTAAAAATCTGGGGTGTTTTGGCATGGAGTGGTATGCCTTCATGGGACTGACTGCTGAGATCACAGTAAGAGGAAGTGGGTTTAGTCGAGAGGAACAAGATAATCAAGAGGTGGGCCCTGGGTCCCTCCAATCTCAAAGTAAGGCCTGGGAAACAATGGGGAAGGTCTCAGACTCTCAGGAGGATCAGAGGAGGAGGAAATTAGAGTACTGACTCCTAGAGGTCAAGTGAAGAAAGTGCGTAAAGGAAGAGGCAGTGGGCAACTGTCAGCTGCTGCTGGGAGGGGCTCACAGCTGAATTTAGCACAGTGGAGGACAATGGTTTGCTTGACAAAGGGAAGGCCTAGGGAGGAAAGCCCACGTGCAATGGAGTTACAAGGATGGGAAGAGAGGACATGGAGGTACCAACTACAGTCTTCTTTCACTAACAGGGAAGCAAATAGCTCCTTATTGTTCATTTTAGTCTTACAGGTATTAAGCTTAACAGCCCCGGTCATCTGCCCCACCCACCTCTTCTATTTATTAACCAAGCTACCCACTCCATACATCCTAGGGACCCAGCCTATCATGGTTCTCCACACACGTTAGGCGTTCTCACTGCTTTTAATCACAGCATTCCCTACATAGAATGTTTTTCACTTTCAATTCTTTATTCCCAAACTAAGCATCATTGAAAGACCCTTTTAATGCCCTGTCCATAAACACTCCTTGATCACACCATAGAGGTTCTCTTCAACTTCTAAACTCTAATTGCATTTTAGCTGTACCCTTCCTAATGGCATTTTACATTTTCTATTGCATCTTACAGCTTCTTCTTTCAGCTTCCCCTCTAGACGGCAAGCTGCCTGATGAGTAAACCCAACCAGACGACACACTGCCTGCAAGATGTAACATGGTACTCAGTAAATACTTCTGGAATAATACAAAAATTAGTGAGATACCCCTTCCATCCTCTATGTATCAATTAGAAGTGATGGAATATTTTGGTTTGGAATATCTGAGGTGGGAATTTGAATTTTAAACAAGTAGATCCCTCCCTGCTCCTGTGATTCTGAAGCAAATTGTCTATGGATTGTAACAGGGTTGGTGAAAAAGGATGTAGCTGGAAAAAGTCCTCCTGTCCCCTAATTGAGAATCTGTCTTCAGACACAATTGTGATCGCATCATGTGTTGTTTAAAAATCTTCTAATTCACTCAACAAATGAATTCAATTCTTTATTTACTTTAATACTATGTGTTGGGCAATACTCTAGCTGATTGAGACTCTAGAATGGTAACTCCACTGATTATCTGTGACCTTGGAGAAGATACACACTTCTTTGTAAAGACTGATTTATTATATTTGAAAGGCAAAGCTACGAAAGAGGGAGGGAGGAGAGAAGAGACCTTCTATCCAACTGGGTTCACTACCCAGCTGGCCACAATGGCCAGAGGTGGGCCAGGCTGAAACCAGGAACTTGGAACTCTATCTGAGCCTCTCATGTGGGTGGCTGGAGCCCAAGCACTCGGGCCATCTTCCATTGCTTTCCTGGGCACATTATCAGGGAGCACAATCAGAAGTGGCACAGCTGAGACTTGAACCAGTGCTCATATGGGATGCTGACATCATAGGCAGTGACTTAACCCACTGCACCACAAAGCCAGCCCCTGGATACAAACTTCTTTAAGCTTTAAGTTTCCATATCTGTAAAGACTGTAGGCAAAAGGAGAATGGATCCCCAGGAAGTGAAAGGTCAGTGTGTTTAAATACAAAATGTGGTTCAGAGGCATTTGGCCCTTAGATCATGGTGAGAATTTCAGCTTTTACCCCAAGAACAATGGAAACCCAAGAAAGGATTTTCAGTAGGAAGATGCCATGCCAAAAGTAAATTTGTCCTCCAGGACAAGAGAAATTAGTAATTACTATCACATTAGTCTAAGATCTTGGAGGATATTACATAAAAATAGTAACTAATCTTCAGGACGTCCCATGTTCCATTTTCTAAGTAGCCGAGAAGGACATTAAATCTTGCTTATTGGTGTTATTAGTTTCTTTATATCCTATTGACATCTTAAGATTGTAGAGATGTGTAAGTGTCAGGAACTGAGACTCAACTACAAAAAAAAATTTATTACATGTGAAAGTCAAACAGGTGCCTATTTAATATTCTTTACATATTTATAGATAAAGACAAATAACTTACCAAAAGTTACAAGTTTAAAGAATAGTACCATTTTGAAACAGCCAATATAGTACATGAAAATACTTCATTTTATCCACATTAGAGAATATTATCTCCAAAAAAAAGGTAAATTGTATTTTCTTGTGAAAAATATAAAAATCTTTCAGAGATGTCTGCCAAGACTGTTGGGAACAGTTCATCTTTCTAAATCAAGTTTAATGCCTTTATTTTTTTCCCCCAAATGGCTTTAAAAACCACCTGTGCTCCCTCTGGGTTTGGGGGAACTCTAAATCTTCACTTTCAGTGCATTAGCATAAACAAAAAACAGATCAAAGGTGACGGTTTCGGGTTGCTTTTCCTCAACTGAGCGAAGAACTTTCTCTTTGGCCGGGTGAAAGGACCATCGTGTACTGTGACGTCCATCTACTGCGCACCGGCTTCACCAGGCCAAAGCAGCCACAGTGAAAGAAATCTGCCAGGTTCTGTGCGAATCCAAGGCTGCCAAGAAGAAGAGAACAGGTGTTACTCGCAGCTCCTGATGAACATTCGTTCAAACCAAGAACATTCCACTGAGGCTCTGTCCTCTGCAGTGTCCTCTGAAGTGCCTGCAGGAATCACAGCTGAAATCAATCAGAGTGTCCGGGCTTATCAGACCTCACAACTGAAGCCCTTGTTCCATGTTTGGACCTGACTCCTTATTCTGAGGGCCCTGGCTTCTGCCCAGCAACTGAACTGGGCTCTCTTCACCACTTCATTCTGGGTCCCTCCCACTCACTGGAATGGTCAACTGCCATCAACTAGTTTCTTCCTCTTGATTCTCACTGCCAAAGCTGGGGCTCTGACTGGCTGAGAGGGCACACAGGAGGGCTGGCATTGTGGAGCAATGGGCTATGCTGCTGGTCTGCCATGCCAGCATCCCTTACTGGGGTACTGATTCGCGTCCAGATGTTCTGCTTCCAATCCATTTCCATTTTAATGCACCTGGGAAGGCAGCAGAAGACAGTCCAAGTGCTTGGGCCCTTGTCACCCATGTGTTCCCACATCCCCTGGATGGAGTTCCTGGCCCCTGGGTTCAGCCTGGTCTAGCCTTGCTGTTACAGCCATCTGGGGAGCTAATCAGCAGTTGACAGATCTCTCTCTCTATATATCTCCCTGTCTCTAACTCTGCCTTTCAAATAAAATAAATAAATCTTTAATTTTAAATAAAGGCCACATAGGCCAGACCGTTGTAATCAACAGAATGTTCCCTTCACCCCACCCCACCCCCCACTTCTAAATAGTTCTCTAAACGAATGTTCCTGCCTCAATTCCTTCCATTCTTCTTATATATTGGACAGTCTAGTTCTAAAAAAAAAAAAAAACTGACACATTCACAGCTTCTCACTTCCCAATCAAAGCCCTTTGTCTGCCCAGCAGCTCAAAACCAAATTTATCTTTGCACTCAAGGCCCTGCACAATAAGCCCCTCAGGTTTTAGTGTCACAAACTCATTTTTACAAACCACGTGGCCCCAGCCACTCTGGAGCTATTTTCCCATGATCATACCTGTGGGTGCCTGGAACCCACACTGCGCCACCCTCAGCTCAGGTAACCCCCTAAGCTTTCCAGTCCTACCAGTTCTTGAGGCCCAGTCGATGCTTGCATTCCCACTGGAGCCTTCCCCACTGCAACTGCCTTCTGCCTCGTCTGTTCTCCCTCAACTTCCTGGCGTGCTGTTCTCTACTCCTGTTTCTAGGAGCGCTTATTTCTGTGCTTATGCCCTTTTACCAGATCCCCTCGATGAACGAAAACACGGCTGTGCAGAAGGACAACTGCGCTGCTGTCTGCATGACTACGCTCTGCATGAGCACGACTGTGCTGTCAGCGAAGGAGCAGCCCTCCTCAGGAATCAGCTAGCAGGAGGGCTGGCCACGGGAGCTGACAGGGAGGCAGTGGGGAGACATGCTGGGAACTGCAAGGCCCAGCTGGAGCAGGTTACGAGTAACAGCAACGTAAGAGGACAGAGCAGTCCCACGTTTGGCCTGCGCAGGGTTCTGGAAGCTAGATGCTATGCGGCTCCGAGGCTCTGCCTCTATTTCCTCGAGCTCACACTGCCACTGCTCAGCACACACACGCCTTCCCTTGGCTCTGTCCCTCCACTTAAGGCTCCTCCTCCGGGCGCTGGGCGTGCCCTTCCTCCTGTCTTCACTGTTGCCCAGCCACACCTCACAAGGCTCAGCTACCAATCCCACCTCTTTCACGGGCTTCCATACTTCAGTGCAGTAATACTTATTCCTCTGGTTAAACCCTGAGCATGGGACCTTATTTTCACTTTCAGTCTGAAATAATCATCAGAAGCTTTACACCACTCCCCGACGCTCTAGTCATCTCTGCCCAATGAAGTCAACTTTTCTCCACTCTGAACACACACTGCAGTCACAGCTCAGCCTCTGACTTCCTTGTCTACCAGCCTAACAGTTTCATCTGGTACCAAGAGAAGGCTTTAAAATAGACTGCTCGTGAGATAGGCAGTGAGTGCTCAAATCCCTCGAGGGCCCGGGTCACCTCTGCGGCACTCCCAGCCTCCGGGACCCTGAGAGAGGTGGGCAGGGAGATAAGCTTCAAAGCCTGATCTTTCAGAACACAAGGTGACGGCCTTCCTCCAAACACGTCACTGTCAAACTCAGGACAGGTTTACACAACCAATTCTCTGGGTGGAACTTATCACAAACCTGAAAAAACTAGCTTCTCCTTGCCACAGGTGGGCACATAAACAGAGAGCTGAGAGAAGTGATGGTGACAGAAAGCAGGCTGGAAATCCTGGCAAAGCACACAACCTAACGCTTCCTCCCGAGAGCCTTGTGGCTGACTTTCTCAGCCACATGCTCAGTTATCTCACGTTGACTCCAAGCCAGTAACACAAAACCTTGTGACCATGTGGTTTGAGTGGAGAGATTCGCTATGTTGGCAAAACTTCACAGTCACTTACTATTTGTGCTGAATCCAACAGACCGAAGCCCAAATTCTTACCACCTTGGAGCTCATGATCTTATAACCCACCCCTGTCACTGAGGCTTAAGGGAAGAAGGGTTCCATTCCAACAGAGCCCAACAGAACCCAACAAAACATGGTGGCCATTGGCAGCGGGATTAGGTCAGGAAACCTAGTGGCTTCCACTGTGCTTAGTGGCTAGAATAGAGCTCCTTACTTGTATGGCGTCTTCCTGAGGGACAAGGGCTGTTTCATATGCCTGCTTTGCTTTAGCAGGCTGATTCTCTCATGGGAAGTCAGGCCCAGGAAAGCAATCTGAAAAGGAAGATCGGAAAGTACATGAAAAATACCACATCGTGGCTAGTCACCCTCAGCAGTATCATCACAAAACACTGGCACACTCTCAGCACTTCCCAGAGATGGTATCCCTAGTCTTCTAACCAAGGGTCATGGTGAGGGTTAAGAGTCAGCAGCTTTAAAATATACAGGGCACTTTAGAAAGTTCATGGAGAAATGGAATTAAAACCTAAGTTTATCTTGGTGTAAAACATTTTGAAATTCATGCATAATTTTAAAATAATAAGTGTTTCCATGAACTTTTTGAAAACCACTCATATTAATCTATAAACAGGATTTTTTTTTCCTTTCCTATTATTTGATTTTTATTATCATCCAGGAAAGTGCTGTGCATTGACTCAGAGTTGTGAATAACTGCTTTATTCAAGCTACAGGCTTATGGCCACATTTAGATTAATAACAAACTCTAGATGAATAAAAGAATCTAGTCAGAATCAGTACAATTATCTCAACTTGTGAGTTCTTAGTATCTCTTTGAAATGACCAAAGGAAAAAAGTTAACAACCTAGAGTGGCAGACCATGTACATCCATAAATATGGGGAAAGAGTAAGATTGAGGGTGACATTAAAACTCCCAATCATTAAAATCCTCATCAAGTTCCGCTTCCATTAAACAGAGCTCATCTTACCATCTACATCATATTGTTTTAAGGATTTGAGATAACACATTTAACTATTTAGTGAAGAGGTAACTGATTTCAAGCCACGCAGCTGTGTCAGCTGTGGCTGACACCTTGGTTAGTGTGGGAATAGCACCCACGGTCATCACTGGCGGTCTACAGTCTCAGTGGGACTTGCTACAGTTAAAACCATATATAACCAGAGCATCCAGGATTTGAGAGCTTTCAAAAAGGTGGATGTTTTTGTTCATTAAGAAAACAATTGTGGGACCAGTGCTGTGGCATAGCAGGTAAAGCCGCCACCTGCAGTGTTGGCAACCCATCAGGAACCAGTCTGAGTCCAAGCTACTCCACTTCCAATCCAGCTCCCTGCTTTGGCCTGGGAAAGCAGCAGAAGATGGCCCAAGTCCTTGGGACCCTGCACCCATGTGGGAGGCCCAGAAGGGGCTCCAGGCTCCTGGCTTTGGATCCACCCAGCTCTGGCCGTTGCAGCAACTAGCGGATGAAAGACCTCTCTCTCTCTCTCTCTCTCTCTCTCTCTCTGCCTCTCTGTAACTCTGCCTTTCAAATAAATAAATAAATCTTAAAAAAGAAAGAAAGAAGACAATTGCTCTGAGTTCTTGTTTTGAATACTGTGTGAAACAGTCCATTTTATGCCTTTGAAAGTACAGACACATATATATCAACCTTTCTTTTCACACTTTAAAGATATTATAGTCTCCTATACTTTTTACTTGTTCCGAAAGTGTAGAAAAGAGAGAGAATTAGAACTGATGCTTGAAATCTTAGGTTCTCCCTCTAACTGCACCTCTTACTGGGTCTATGACCATCAACTAAGCACTTGACATCTATTAGTTTTAGCTTCTCCTCATAAACAGATAAAATGTTGTGGCACTGTCTACACCTTACATGCTTGTGAGGAAATAGATGGGGAAGCGCTTTGGAAAATGTAAACCATATAATTATGTATTAGGTATAATAAATGATAGTGATTAATGTCAATTAGTCACTGATGCTAATATCCATTCTCACTGCCCGAGTCTGTTGATGTCACAGGGGTGAGATTGAGATGAACGTTCAGAAAGCTCAGTTCAGTCAGTATTACTAATTAAATGCCCTTTCTTAGCATTTTTTTCTTTTATTTTCCTTCTTATTATTCTGAAAGTAACTGGATCAGACTGATCATTGCTGCCTATTCTTTTTTTTTAAAGTAATCTATGCTTTTATTTTTCTTTTTCAAAGATTTATTTTATTTATTTGAAAGACAGAGTTACAGAGAGAGGTAGAAACAGAGAGAGAGGTCTTCCATCCACTGGTTCACTCCCCAAATGCTGCAACGGCTGGAGCTGTGCCGATCCAAAGCCAGGAGCCAGGAGCTTCTTCCGGGTCTCCCATGCGGGTGCAGGGCCCAAGGAGTTGGGCCACCTTCCACTGCTATCCCAGGCCATAGCAGAGAGCTGGATCGGAAGAGGAGCAGCTGGGACTAGAACCAGCGCACATATGGGATGCCGGCGCTTCAGGCCAGGGCTTTAACCTGCTGTGCCAGAGCGCCAGCCCCCTGCTGCCTATTCTAAGTGGGCAGGCCACAGCAACAATGAGAATTAGGTTAGGCCATAGGGGAAGGAAGGAGGTGGGGAAGGGACAGAAGCTTCACAGACTGCTGAAGGTGACTATCGTCCTGGGGGTTCAACTTTCTAATGGCCATGACCTTCTCTGAAAATGCAATTACCATGTCCACTGGTTAGTGATATATCTTTCACTTCTTCCCACTCCTAAACCAAGGGAAAATAATCATCTTATATTTGCATGATGCTGTACACTTCACAGCATACTTTCACACACTCTATAATTTATATGACGGGAAAAGCCCTTGAATGAGACTGTCAGAAGACCCAAGTTTCCAGTTCTGATTCTGCCACTCACTGGGTGAACTTGAACAATTCTTCTCCCTAGACCTCCATCTGTAAAACAGAGGTCCCGTTAGATAACTCTTTGGTCCAGCTCCAACAATTTATTAATCTAACTGCTGAACCACGCTGTGACAGTACACCAACAAGGAAACTCAAATTCAGGGGTGGTCAAATTACATGCCTCTACCTGTAGCAAAAGTGAAAGAGGCAGAACTAGAATTGAAGTCATTTTTTTTTCTTCAATTTGTATCTTTCTACCTCACTACAGCTAAATGGAAGTTTCACTTAAAGGCATTATAAGAAGAGAATAAATACCTGAAAGAGCTGATTTATTAATAAAATGTTGACCATGAGAAATGGAAAGTTGCTAGCAGGAAGATATACACAACCCAAGGAGAACAGGCCACAATCTGACTGAGGTAGGTCCATAGTCCATCTTCTCTGAATGTTGTGGCACAATGATTTGACCAATCTGTGAATTAAAAAGAGAGGAACCTATTATTAAAATGGCAATAAATTAGTGACCATTTTCCAAATAGATCCAATCACTGCAGTTCTATCTGGGGAGAACAGAAGGTGAGACGTGATGGCACAGATCAGCCTTCAGCTGAGGAAATTTATTCAGCATATACTACCTCAACTACCAAAGACAAAGATATGGTACCTTGATATTGACAACAACTATGATAATACACTATCAGCAACTGACAGTGAAGGAATAAAAGAGAAAAATGTTATAAAACCATCATTAAAATCAGTATCTTCAGCATAAAATGCCCTAGCCAAAATTGTTCAAGGACTTGACAACTGTGAGTGAGTATATTTAATAAAATATTTTTCCTAGAAAATTCTCTATAGTGTCCATGTTATAACAAGTTAGGGTTCTATTACAGGACTGAATATGTTATTTAAAGGCTCAAATGAACAGGTCATTGCTGTGCTCATAAAATATCCTGTAAGTACCAAGATACCATCAGAATACAACCTAACATAGCACGCAGGGCTGGGCATGGGTGCTTCTGTACTGGCACCAAAACTAATCCCGTAGAGGAAAAAAGGCCAGGTGAAGGGACTCTACAGAAAGATATGCCCAAGATAAGCACACAGAGCAAGATTCAGACAGTCGTGGCTCAATTTCTCCTTCAGGAACTTTTTTTTTTGACAGGCAGAGTGGACAGTGAGAAAGAGACAGAGAGAAAGGTCTTCCTTTGCCATTGGTTCACCCTCCAATGGCCGCCGCGGCCGGCACGCCGCACTGATCTGAAGCCAGGAGCCAGGTGCTTATCCTGGTCTCCCATGGGGTGCAGGGCCCAAGCACTTGGACCATCCTCCACTGCACTCCCGGGCCATAGCAGAGGGCTGGCCTGGAAGAGGGGCAACCGGGACAGAATCCGGTGCCCCGACCAGGACTAGAATCCGGTGTGCTGGCGCCACAGGCGGAGGATTAGCCTATTGAGCCACAGCGCCGGCCTCCTTCAGGAACTTTTACGAGCCAAATAAAAGAGAGGTCTTCACTCCTGCCTCATTATATTGACCCTCTAACCCATGCATCCCAGAGCAGAAGGAGGGAGAAACACAAGTAGGAAGCAATAGAAACAAGGGACCAGACCTTCAAGTTATGTAAATCCAACGACTTTTGCAGGTACCATGACTGTGCAGAAAGGGTGAAGTATACTTGAAATGAGAATCCTGTAGATTTGCACCATGAAGTTTCATAAAGGCTTCTGAGAGTTTGAGAAGCAGTTTTAGACATTCCCCTCAGAAGCACAGAAGAGCTCCAGGACATGAGGAAAATGAGTTGATGACTTTACTATCAGCTGTCTGTCCCTTTTAGTACTAAAAATCTACTCTTTTTCTTTTCTGAGTCTCATTTGATTTCCAACCATTTTTCATGAATATATGCCAGAGGCACTCTAAGAACAATCATCTCAGAGTAACAATCCAGGGAACAAGTTAAGGGAAATTATATTTTCTTTAGAGCCTCCCATTAGGACAGCAAAGAAAGATGCATCCTATGCACCTGATATATTTATATATATTTATATATACATATATGTGTATATATAAAATTTCCCATAGCAGGTGGAGAAAATAGCAGTTGAGCAGGAAACAATATCTACTTTCTTTTAGTTTATGGGTTTCCCCTACTTTCTTTTGGGAATTTTTTCAATAACACAGCATGACCTTCCACTCAAGTACTGACTTCAGATTTAATATCACAGATATGGCTAAAAGTGGTCATGCACATTGTCTTGTACACAATATAACACTCTGATCTGGGCTAACATATTCTTATCAGGTAGTCAATGGCTAATGAAAGGGAATTCATATTGTCCCAAATCAATTGTTTTCATCTTTAGATAGCTCTGATGGTTACAAAGTTCTTCCTTTTACTGACCTAAAATATTTCCCCCTATAACTAATAGGACACTGACCCTGAGTCATGCCTGTGGCAGGAATGGAGGCTGTACAGAGAGGCAGAAGTAGCTGCTACTGGGCCACATGAAGAGGCGGGGTACACAGCAGTAATAACAGCACTAATGGTAAATAAAGGAGACAGAATAATAGTGAGCCCTCATTAGAGAAAGGGGGCACAACCTCATGTTTCCTGTTGGTGAAAAAAGGACAAATGATACCATGCCCTCATTCAGTATAAAGAATTACTTCTATTGTTAGAATATAAATGGAAGAAAAGTAACAAAATATGCTCAACTAGTCTACACAGATGTAAGTCAATGCAAGGTCTCTAAGAAACAAAACACAATGAGAAAACTGGTCCAGAGCCAGAGGAAAAAGACAAAGAGAATGGAAGAACCAATGTGTGTCATAAAGAAAAAATTACCTTGGAAAGACTAAATGTGATGGAAAACCGCTTTTGTCCTTATCAATACAGTCTTATGCTGGACACAGACAGCAAACAAAGGTGACTATTTTTAGTGAGCAGTGAGAAGACTGGAGACAAGAGTGGTGGAAAATCTGGCTCCTTTCCCCTAGGACCAATTCCAAGAAAAAAGTTGGCCCATGGGCCAACTCTGACAGGTTTTCCAAGAATATGTGTTATTGTTAGGCCTTAAAAAGGCAGCTCTCTCAACAGAAAGAAGCACCGTCAAAAAAATCTTTTATTTCTTATACCACAAGACATACTCATGGAATTTGAAAATTCCAATGCTCAGAGTTACTGGTGGCCTCTGACGAGAACTGAGCTCAGGGATCATAATCTTGTATTAGACTGATTTGTTCTGATAACAGATTTAGCTAAAAAAGCAGTCCCCAGTTCTCAGACACACCCAAGGGGTCAGGTGGGAAAAGGTCTGGCAAGGTAACTGAGGCCTCACCGTGCCCAAGGCAGTTCAAGAAACCCATTCTACACAGGAGCCAATAAACGATCTCTAAATATGAAACCCAAAATAAAACAAAACTGTTTATAGGAAGGGAAACTGAGAGGTTGGAGGACAAGCAAAGAAAGAAAATATTTTCCAACAACTAAAGAGAGAGAGGCAGCGAGCAAGCAAGCGAGCAGGCATATGCTCCCCCATGCACTTGTTCTCTCTCCACATGCAATGGTCAAGGGCTAGGCCTGGCTGAAATCAGGAGTCCAGGAACTCAATCTAGCTCTCCCACAGGGGTGGCAGGGATCCAAGTACTGGAGACATTACCTGCTGCCTCCCACGGTGCACATTAGCAGGTAGCTGGAGTCAGGAGCTAGAACTGGGTATTGAGCCCAGTTCTGATGTGGGGTGCAGGTGTCTCAAGTGGTAGCTCAACCACTAGACTAAATATACTATCCTTAAACAAAATTTAAGCTAAGGAAAGTCGGGATCAGGGGGAGAGAAAGAGACAGAGACAGATAGACAAACATTGGTGGGGCTGTTTAAAGAAAAAAAAAGTAGGAAAAAAGACTTTTCTAAGCAGGTTAGAAGTGACTTAGAGCCAAAGCCATCCACATAAATAAACAACAAGCAGTTATAGTCCATATAAAGAAAGAAATTACAAATACTATAAGCTTTTCCAATTAGGGAACTTTCTTCAAGGTCTGAAAAGTATAATCACACAATTCTTTTTTTTTTTCTTTTATTTAACAGGTAGAGCTATAGACAGTGAGAATGAGAGTGAGAGAGAGAGAGAGAGAGAGAGACGCACAAAGGTCTTCCTTCCGTTGGCTCACTCCCCAAATGGCTGCTATGGCCGGCACTGCGCTGATCCGAAGCCAGGAGCCAGGTGCTTCCTCCTGATCTCCCATATGGGTGCAGGGGCCCAAGCACCTGGGCCATCTTCCACTGCCCTCCCGGGCCACAGCAGAAAGCTGGCCTGGAAGAGGAGCAACTGGGACTAGAACCCGGCACCCATATGGGATGCCGGCGCCACAATTCTTAATAGCTAAACAAAATTCTTCATATTTCAGTTTAACCCTCATTCTCAGACCATCACCTTGGAACAGCCGTCTGTCATTTCTAGTATGAGACGGCCCAGATGAGTTTTTTTTTTTTTTTTTAAAGATTTATTTATTTATCTGAAAGGCAGAGCTACAGAGAAGCAGAAGCAGAGAGAGAGAGAGAGAGAGGCAGGTGTTCTGTCCGCTGGTTCACTCCCCAAGTAGCCACAACGGCAGGAGCTGCACTGATCCAAAGCCAGGAGCAAGGAGCTTCCTCCATGTCTCTCACGGTGGGTGCAGGGGCCCAAACACTTGGGCTATTTTCTACTGCTTTCCCAGGCCATAACAGACAGTTGTATTGGAAGTGGAGCAGCTAGGACTCAAACTGGCGCCCATATGGGACACCGGCACTCTAGGCAGCAGCTTTACCCACTACACCACAACGCCAGCCCCCCAGACAATCTAAACAGCTACTGAAAGTGACTTCTTTTCCCAAAACTAATTTCCAGCCTTTCAGTTGTTGCAGTTTAACCATCAGCTCTGGTTCTACCTGATAGTAAATCAAATTGCGAGTGCTTTCAGGGCTTTGATCCTTAATTTCCTGTGACCACTGTACCCGCAACCTCTCTACCACCCACTCCCCTTTTCCCTACTTATCATCTACTTTGTTCTTGAGCAGTTGACTTTTCCTCCTCGCCGGGAGACTCTGCATTTGCCTGAAGTGAATTTGTTTTGAACTGCTTCTCAGATTTCTCAAGGTTCTCTTCCCAAGAGCTGAGAACTAACCTCCTGGAGCATTTCCTGCAGCTTCCTGAGGCTAGGGGCGCCTTAAAGGCAGCTACTTCATTTTCATTAGGGGTTCGGTTTATAGTCACCCAGCCAGAATGGGATAGATAGGTAGAGGGGTGTGGGTACATGAGTTTATAGTAATAAAATGTATACTTAAGCCGGCACCGTGGCTCAATAGGCTAATCCTCCACCTTGCGGCGCCGGCACACCGGGTTCTAGTCCCGGTTGGGGCGCTGGATTCTGTCCCGGTTGCCCCTCTTCCAGGCCAGCTCTCTGCTATGGCCAGGGAGTGCAGTGGAGGATGGCCCAGGTGCTTGGGCCCTGCACCCCATGGGAGACCAGGAAAAGCACCTGGCTCCTGGCTCCTGCCAGGATCAGCGCGGTGCGCCGGCTGCAGCGGCGGCCATTGGAGGGTGAACCAACGGCAAAGGAAGACCTTTCTCTCTGTCTCTCTCTCTCACTGTCCACTCTGCCTGTCAAAAAAAAAAAAAAAAAAAAAAAAAAATGTATACTTACAGATGAAAGATCCATATATGATCCAGTCACATACCATGGAAAGGAAAAACAAGAAGAATATGTAATAGTGATGGTTGCCAAAACCTAAAAAAAAATAAAAGAGAAAAAAGACTTTGTTTTCTCATGATGGTTTTCCACATAAGACCTTCCACATAAGACCACCATGCTATCAAAAGCCTTCACCAAAGTAAACCAGAAATGAGGTTGTTGCTTTGCTTTTAAAGGCCATGATACCCAAACCAAACAGTTCTGTATGTCAGGCAATTGTTACCCAAACGAAGGCATTTTTTTTTAATAGACCAAACTTAACTAAGCAAACCCAGCTCTAGATTGCCATATTCTGTTGGAGGGAAGCAGCAGGCAAGATTCTAGGCAAATTATACCATGCTTCCTTCTTACCTCCATGTAACACATTTATATAAGTACAACCTCTGAACATCACTGTCTGAGGAAGGGACAGAAAAACAAACCCAAGTAGCAGGAAATACACACATGGCACAAGACTGGACATAACAAAGAAGGGCGACTGGCAGCCTGGAGAAGGCACGCAGAAGCAAAGGAAGGATGAAAGCGCCAGGGGACCAAGTCGCTCTGGTGCACCTGTTGCCCCCTTGAAGCAAGATGGGAGTGTTTCCACTAAAGACACGAATGCTCCTTGGGACTGATCTTGGTGCCTCCTTCTCTGGGGTCAGTAAAGCCCCGCAGAAGGAGCCACAGCCACTGGAGCCAGGAGACGTGGGTTTGCCAGTCACTAGTCGTGTCACTCTAGGTTAACTGGCCTAATTTCTCTGACCCACCATTCTCACTTGTAGCATGGAGATAAAACCTCTTGTATTTCACAGGATGATGCAAGTAAAAACACTGTGCTAAATACAGTGCGATAAAAATGGTAAGGCTTACTGCTATCATTTTCCTACTGCCAATCAGTGCTTTCTGGCACAATGTCAATCACGTAACTTTTATGCTGGGATGGAGTCCATAAATCTTAGGTCTCCCAGCATCATCAAGCCACCTATTCTCTAGGAACAGGAGAGAATATCAAAATGCACCAAGGAAACCTGAGTGGGTGGAGGCAGCCTGCAGGTCACCATGATTACAAAAGCATTTCCTCTCGTGAAGACCCGCAACCGCAGGCCCTCAAAAAAGACCCTCGCCTCTACTGTGATGGCCAGGAGGAAACCCAGTGCTGCACATCAGGAAAAGGAATATTCCTGCTGTAAAGGCAATCCCTCCATTTCTGACATCTCTGGTTCTAGTTCCTGTGTGAGCCTTGAGGGAGGCAAGTGGGAAGAGCATGTCATTTGGAGTGGAAGACATACTACTAAAGCAACCTCAAGCAAATAATTTTACCTCCTATACTGTTTCAGCACTAAAATGGAGATAATACCAACCTCACAGATGTGTTCTGATGATCAAATTAGATACCGGATGTGAAAGTGTTTTAAAAACTCTAAAGTACTGTATAAGTGATAACTGTCCCTGTCAACTTCAACAACCAGTTTTCCAAAAGTCTTACACTAGAGACCGTCTCAGAGAAGGAAGAGCTGTAAACGGAGCCCTTGGATGACCTTCCACTTTCTCTGAGTTGCACACATAGCTAAACACGCTTACCTTCCCTGTTGTAATTGAAAAGTCTCTCACCTATGCATCGGCCAGTCCACAGGCAGTGTTGATCGTATCGAGCCACACAGGAGTTGCACACATGGCAGTGGAGTGACCTTAATGGCTTCCTTATCTAAATGGGCAATTAAGAGAAGCCTATGTAAAAACCAGTGTCTCAAATTACAAGCAAAATTTTAATCCTAGGTCATAATGACATTGGCGCAAACAACCCTAAATAGACCATCAATTCACCTAGAAGCTCTAGAATGCCTTATTAATATTTATTTCCAGATGTCTACTCTGATTAGATCATTAAAGGAGATCTGAATTCCAGAGCAGAGCCACAATGGCTAAGGGGAAATGAGGCAGGATGGTTAAGAAGAATGAGCAAAAGAAAGAGGAACCTGAGTTGTATTTATGGCTCTGCCAGTCATCTAGGGGAATTCCCTTCCTCCCTCTAAGGCTTTAATTTCTCAACTGCAAAACAAGTGGTTTTCACTGAGTGGTTTCCTGGGTCACTACGAGTCTCTGACTTGAAGTCAGTTCTAACTGCTTCAAGACAGAGCAAAGCAAACAGAGAACACTGTCGGTAACTCACAAAGATATTTTACCATAAGCAACTTCAGAAGATTATAAATAGTATTGTCCCATATATTCAAGGCAGAAAATATTGCTCCAACAGTAATGCAAAATTAGAACTGAGTAAAAACAAAATTGTATGAATACACATCATGAAGGTTTGACACATGCTTACATAGCCATATCACCAAGAATTTGGCTTTACCACGGGAGAATATATAGAAAAGACTCACAAGGCAGGATGTACAAAACGTTCTGAAGTCCAGACAGCCAGTTTCTGCAAGGGTGATGATATTCTGAAAGACATCAAGCTTGACTTTATTATTGTATTTTATTAGAGATTATATTATGCATGGCTATTTCTCACAGCTCTTTTTCCAAACTCAAGTAACTAAGAAAGCAATTTGGAATATCTGCCACTGAGTCATTCTGTACCAGAAATAATGTGACTCTGTGAGGCTGCATTTCAACCAATAACCAACAAATTAAACTGCATAAAAATCACTGCTGCCCCACCCCCATGAATGGCAAACACCTACCAGATATAATCTGCTAGAGAAAAATAAATACACACATATACACACCTAATAAAGAGAAATTAAAACCACCAGTATACATCAGAACCGAGGGCCACAAGCACCAGTGCCTGAGTCTTTTGGGAACACTGTCTTTGGGCAACAAAGACGACGATGACTGCCCCACCATCCACCACACACACACACACACACACACACACACACGCTTCTGAAATTCATGAGCACTGGATTACGTGCCATATCATCTGGCAGATTCACATTTGAGAAAGAAAAGGGGCATCTCAATGAACAGGGAGGAAGACACCCCCTGGCTCTGGCTAGTTATACTCCAAGGGAGAAAACTTAAGCTAAGTGACCATTATATAAAAATGACCTTTTTTTTAAGACTGTACACTATAGGTGATCATGTCCATTAACAGAAATCACATTTTTTACACACACACACACACCAAAAAAGTCTAACAGTGGAGAGCTACCATTCTGCTGATTTAATCACTCCATGCTTGTGCCGTGCCCATTAGGTGCCAGGCATTGACAAAACCATTGTAGCTGTGACTTTCTGAATCTACATGCTCTCGTATTTTTAAATAGTGATATCAGTAACACTACAGAGAAAACTCACCACTTTCCTTTCTTCTTCAGAAGTCTTAGTGAAACCTGGATCAGTTGCCCAAGTCTTGTAGAAGAAGTAGAGAAAGGCTAAAATGCTGAAAATGAAAGTGAAATAGAAAGGGGAGCCTGCTAAATGTTAAAGCCCAGTTAAGGAATATATTTAGCTCCATTAAGAGGAGCATAATTATGATACAAACAGAATTTGTCACTGGTGCCTCAGAATCCCTGTATCCTCACTTCCCTAATAAACACACATCTCCACCCCCAAAGCCAGCCCTATCCTATGCTGCAATCCTACAGGAATTGGCTCCTAGTTGGCTAATAATTAATACTTCCTCATTAGTTGAAACTCACATTAAATATTGATAGGAATAATTGCAATTTATGAGGAACATCCTGAAGACTGGAATGCAATCAAGATCCAAATAAATGTATCCCTTCTGGTATAATGGCTGCCTCCCCTGTGTACCTCTAGAAAAATATTCTCTGGTTATTCCTAACATCATTCAAAACAACAAACTCTTTGATACAAAGATTCCAACTAAAAATATTTCCTTATCTACCAGATAGATGCTTATTAAAATTTCCTACTGCAAATTTTAGTAACTAATCCTTGTAATTGTACTAGGATGAGTTAATTCAGAAACAAAAGAAACTACTCTCCCTGAAAAATGATTACACACCACATCCTATTTGGGAAGGGCAGACATTATGGACAGATTAAAATAAAAGGTGTTTTCAGGACAAACACCACTTGCTTTAAAATGTTTTCCAAGTTTTTAATGCTTTCAACTCTTTATATAAAGAGTAAATTTGTTTGCCAGAAAAGGGAAAGTGAATGTGCAGTCGTATGTCAATGAAGTAGTAGTCACCAATCGTCCTTGCCCAGTTTACATCATTACTGACAGAGGATTCACCCTCCAAGGTGATGCCAAGAGATCCTTGCTAAGCTTTGGAGTGGAAACGGTGGCCAGAAAACAGGCTCTCAACCATGGCTACTGAAATGTGCCCATGGACCTGCAGCAATGGCTTCCCCTGGGAGCCTGTCAGAAAAGCAGAACTCCAGGCTCCACCCCAGGTCTACAGAACAAGACTGTATTTTAACAAGATCCCTAGTGACTTCACATGCACGTTAATGTTTGAAAAGTGGCGCTTTAATCCACAAAGACCAGCACAGCCACATCCGGTCCAGACAGGTAGGAACAAATCCTGCTGTTTGGCTTATCAGCAAGAGGACCAAACTTTAAGAATGATAGGGTCCAAAGAACCGTGAAATCGAGCTTTAACAAATGAAGCTTACTTAGAACAGATTAAGATGAACACCATTAAAGGGGGCATAGGGCAAGAACTCTTGTTCTTGCATCCTGCTTTTGCCACAGTTCTGATCACCACACATCTTCTCAAAAATGCATCCAGTTGAATCAAAAATGGCCCTGAATACTGAGCTGACAATTTTGGGCTCCTATTCTGAGTAACTTATAGAATATCTCAAGAGAATCACTGGATTCTCATCTGTCCAAGGAAAATGAGCAGCATTCTATTCCCTCACATGCTTTGCTTAGGTGATTCACTGAACTCAAATGCTCTCTACTTCCTCTCATTTACTTCTAAAACCACACTTTGGGGCCGGCGTCGTGGCTCAATAGGCTAATCCTCCACCTTGCAGCACCGGCACACTGAGTTCTAGTCCCGGTCGGGGCACCGGATTCTGTCCCGGTTGCCCCTCTTCCAGGCCAGCTCTCTGCTCTGGCCAGGGAGTGCAGTGGAGGATGGCCCAAGTCCTTGGGCCCTGCACCCACATGGGAGATCAGGAGAAGCACCTGGCTCCTGGCTTCAGATCAGTGCGATGCGCCGGCCGCAGCACCCCGGCCGCGGCGGCCATTGGAGGGTGAACCAACAGCAAAAAGGAATCCTTTCTCTCTGTCTCTCTCACTGTCCACTCTGCCTGTCAAAAACAACAACAACAACAACAACAACAACAACAACAACAAACCTCACTTTGGGATGTCCAGGTCCCAACTGCCTATAAGACTTAACCTATCCTCTCCTTCCTCTTGTAAACATGTCTTTTCTGTCTCCCTAGAGAAAATAATTCTCACTTCCCAGAACCCAAGAATGTTTTTCTATGGCAGCTTGACCTTAGATTACTGCTATTTATAGACCCCCTGTAGGCTGGTGAGCCTTCTGCAGTTAGAGTCTCTAAATACAGAGCTAAAATCTTCCATTCTATAACTTCAATCAGTTGGTTTCCATTCACAGATCTTTGTGATTCACACTACAGCTCTCCTTAGAGCTCACTTGCATTAGCTTATTCCCTTATTCAATCAAAAAATTTGATAGAGTGTCTCTCTATACAGTGCATTGGCCTCCAAATGGTAGACTTCCAAACACTTCAGATCAGGAGGAAGTAATCACACTGGTCCTTACATTAGAGTTTTCTGGTCCTGTTCCTGTTAAAGGTCTTGTTTGTCATTATGTCTTTTAAAAGCAAAGAATTCAAAACAGAGCAAATACACTTCAGGTGTATACTGATCAGTGCAGAGGACAGTGAAGCTGCTGCTGTCCTCTGCCTGGACACTCAGATGCTCACAATACTATTTACAAGCATGTTGGCTTCCTTGACAACTGCATCTGTAGCCAATCAAAGTTCCTGGTTTGTTTTCACTTGAATGAAGTTATGTGACTTTGCATCGTAACACGCACCTGTACAGCTGATTCTCTGAAACCAGGTACAGGACATTAAGTATATTTATTCCTCTTAAACTTAATTCACAAACATCACAAACATAACATGCACCACTTCTTTTCTTACTGTGAAATATTAGGTATTACTTATAGAATGCCAATTACGCAGGTGGGCCGTCACTTTACAGACATCAGAGTCATCCCTGAAGTCACCCTAGTTGGTAATGTTGTCCCAAATAATGGAAAAAACTGAGACTCAGTGAAATTAAATAATTTGCCCAATGGTACATAACTAGTAAGTAAAAGCTAACTCTAAATCATTCCATCTGATCCCAAAGATCACACTCGAAACAGTGCTCCAGTCCCTTTTCCTGTAACAGATTAGTGGCTATGGGAGCAAAAGCCCCCACTGAACCCAGACCTGGTGACCTGGGACAAAGCCCAGGTGTGAAGGGGGGTGAATGGGTGTGAATGGGTCTCTGGAGTGCAGCAGCTCAGTGCATCTGCAGAGCAGTCCCAGCAGAACTGAACGTTCAGCTGGAAGGATGGATCTGATGGTGAAGTATGCCACCTACTGACTGACCCACACGCTCTCTCCAGGAACAGCTTCACTCGGGGTCTAGATCCACTGGCTTTGTGTTGTCCCAGCGGGTGAAATATTTCACAGGGACAGTTTCAACATCTGAAGATTCTGCTTAGTTCTGGAAATCAGCTCTTCTGATGGAATAGCATCTTCACAAATAGCAAGCAGTTTCTAGTTAAGCTCAACTGAATATTAACATCTGCCACTGAGATTTTCATACAACAGTGAAGTTATATTTTTGTTAATTTTGATTCTGCAAACTTGAAATAATTCAATATAAAAACCTTGGCTCTGGCTCCTGACCTCCTTCCTGCTAAGGCACAACCTGGCAGGTGGCAGTGATGGGTCAAGTAATCAGGTTCCTGCCGCCTACATGGGACATCTGGACTGAGTTCCTGGCTCCCACCTTCAGTCTCCAGTCTGGAGCCATTGCAGGCAGTTGAGGAGCAAACCAGCAAATGGGAGCTCTTACCATCTGTTTTTCTTTGTCTATTTATCTTTCTCCCTCATCTCTGCCTCTCAAATAAATAAATAAATAAATGTTCAAGTTCATCAGAAAACATAATTTTAACAACTATTTTTACTCCTCTGCCACATGGGTTAATACACAAAGAACACCAGCTAGCCGTTCTCAGCATCAAGAATTTATGACCTTTGGGTCTTCTGCAAGTGGTTTTGGTATAAACTGGGCTGTTACCTGATGCACTTGTGGTTACTTACAAGTTAACGTATTTTTATACCTAATAATATCCAAGCCTTCTAAGTTGTACTACAACTAAGCTGTAGTAATAAGGCCAGTGCTTAAAAATCTGTCACCAGTCAGCAGCTCTGAGACAAAAGCTAGAGGAAGAAGACTCTTTGGGGCTGGCGCCGTGGCTCACTTAGCTAATCCTCCGCCTGCGGCGCTGGCATCCCATATGGGCACCAGGTTCTAGTCCCGGTTGCCGCTCTTCCAGTCCAGCTCTCTGCTGTGGCCTGGGAAGGCAGTGGAGGATGGCCCAGGTGATCGGGCGCCTGCACCCACGTGGGAGACCAGGAGGAAGCATCTGGCTCCTGGCTTCGGATTGGCACAGCGCCAGCCGTGGCGGCCATTTGGGGGGTGAACCCATGAAAGGAAGACCTTTCTCTCTCTCTCTCTCTCTCTCTCACTAACTCTACCTGTCAAATAAGTAAGTAGAAAAAAAAAAAAAAAAAGGACTCTTTGGAAAGCAGTCAAATGATCTCCACAGCATGATATGCCATTCATTTAAAAGAAACTGAAAAATACTAGAGATATTAGAGATAGTACTCATGAAAGGAGCATTAAAGCAAAAACATACCGCAGTGGAAGCAGATGTATGCACTCTGAGAACTCACAGTCTATCTCAGTTCATACTTATTCTTATGCGAACAAATTCCTGAGTTCAGTTTATGAACTCTCAAAAACCTTGTGTTCTTTATTTTCAGAAATGTCATCAACAGACTGAGAAGTAATAGAGGAGTTAAAGGAATATGTTTAAGGGTGCATTTCTATCTACCACATTTCTTTTTCCCTATTCTGTAAGCAAAGCAGGGCTACAATGGCTTTCCAGGGTCCCTGGAAGCGGGGAAGGGCATCCGGAAAGAGGTGGGAAGATTGAAAATGCCTCCCACCTAAGTTGAGTTACAAACAGACACAACCCAGGAAGTATCCACTCTCTCCACCCTCTCCACTTCCATTTACCTGGACTTGGCTGACTCAAATAGGACAATATGTTCCTGAACTCAACTTGATCCTTAAGTGACAAACCTACTCCTCAGATGAGTTTTGCTTTTCAATCATAGGCTTCGGTACATTAGGTCATATAAGATCAGTGATAGTGACCAGAATTGGAAAAAAAAAAAAAAAAGACAGGAAACAAAACATGGTAAACATTAGGAGTATTATTTTTTAAAACTTTTGTTTCACATACATTTTGGGTGGCAAAGTAAATTTCTTTTTACTGTGGACTGATAATCACTGCCATTTCATTATTACTGAGGAAATCACCTTCTCCCTAAAGTATCTCCTATACCGGCCATCTTAGTGCCCAGAAGATGTATCAATCGACTGTAACTGCTGACCAAATGAAAAGGATCATTTGACCTTGAAGAAATCTCAAAGCAATCCAACAAATTACTATTGGCCCAAGTAAGACAACAATCCATTCTCCTGTTTCCCTCCTATGGGTAATACACTGGACACCTACAGTTGCCATAGTTTGCCCAGATTATTTCCAAAATCAAGCAATTTTCAACATTAAACATCTACTAAAATCATTAAATGAATGCAAATGTCAGTCACAATGGCCAGGGCTGAGCTGAAACCAGGAGCCAGAAGTTTCTTCCAGGTCTCTCATCTGGGTGCAGGGGCCCAAGCACTTTGGCCATCCTCTGCTGCTTTCTCAGGTACATTAGGTCTTTTCCAATATTTAAATCCCAATAACAGCACTGCCATTTTTTAAAGGTAAAATGAAATATGAATCTAAATTTAAGCTTAAAGGATATCAGGAAAGAGTAAGATGAACCAAGTCATAAATATCCAAAAAATGGAACTTAGGAGAAAGACTGTTGGTAAGTATACAAGGTTCTTATATCCAACCAAAAACCTAAAAAAAAAAAAAAAAAAAGATATTAGTAAAATAACATCTCAGAATGACTTATATTTTTTAGTTCTAAACTCTGCTAAATAATGATGATAATAACAACAGCAATAGCTTTCACTTACTGAATGTTTCATATACATCACTTTCAATGTGGCAACAGAGTTATGCACCATTATCCTGTTTTACGTGAGAACACTGAAGTACAATGACTCTAAAGAAGCAGACATTCTAGTCTAACTTTCACGTTATGTCACTCATGAAAACATTGTTTTTTAATATTTATTTGAAAGGCAGAGTTACAGAGAGAGAGAGAGAAAAAAAGAGATTTTCCATCCACTGGTTCATTCCCCAAATGGTCACAAAGGCCAGGGCTGTGCTGGGTTGAAACCAGGAGCCAGAAGCTTCTCCCAGGTCTCTCACCGGGTGCAAGGGCCCAAGCACTTGGGCCATCCTCTGCTGCTTTCTCAGGTACATTTAGCAGGGATCTGGATAGGAACTGGAGCAGCAGGGAATTGAACTGGCAGTGATACAGGATGCCAGCACTGTACATGGTGATTTAATCTGCTATGCCACAACGCTGGCCCCCACAATAACTTATTTTCAATGAACTTTTGCATTTCTATTGAGACATATATTTGTTTTTTTGGCATATATTTCTAAATACTCTAAAATGCAAAAATGTAAAAACTTGGAGATTTACCCTCACATTTAACCAGCTTTCTTCCAGAGGTTAGCAATAAATTTGAAACACACAGACAAACACAACCTGAAGGACCTTCAATTGGCCTGCAACTAGTCAGAGAAGCAGACACTATAGGAGAAAGATACATACAGGCTGAAAACAACACCATTCCCACAACACTAACAATCCCACTTGGGTAATAAGCAACTTGAAGCCCATATATGACTTAGTCAAAATGTTTAATACTTGTAGTTTCAAAACAAACAAAATCTGTCGCACACATCGAATACTCAATATTGTCACAGTATATATGAATATATCAAGTTTACCTGGATATATTTTAAAATTTACACCAGGAACAAACAGTGGTTGATTATGGGTGGGAAGGGTTTTTAAAAAGGTATCAGGATCATAACCATAATTAGGATAAAATCATATTTAGAAGAGCCAGTGACTCCAAACTTCAGGCACCCAACATGCTGCTAGAATAGGACAAATGGAGTTGCTGTAAACTCCAGGCTATGGCAAAAAAAAAAAAAAAAGCATCTAACCCATCTAATGAGGTAGTGGAGAGAAACAACTAATCTGTAAGAGGCTGAAATAAAAGCAGTATAGACAAAGCTGCCATTTGTCTTTGACTAATATTTGAATTATTCAAATGACTAACATTTGAATACATATGCCAAGCATAGTATTTGAAGCCCTCAACTCACTATCATCAAAAACAAAAGTTGTCATATGATTTTTCTCACAATATAGGTTTCAACTAAAACAAAAAACACAAAATACCAATTTTTCCTATATTAGGTGGGGGTATTGCATTCCCTTGCTTCTTCCCAAGGGGGAGAAAAATGAGGTGATGTGGTCTAAAATTTATTTAGAGACTGAGTCAATCCAATTATGGAAGATTAATGTACATCTCTAAATTACAAATTTTCTGTGTTAAGTATTTTTGTTTTGAAGTTTTACTTTACATTTAAATTCTAATTCATTATTGTCAATTATCCTGCTCTTGGCTGACCAAGCAATAGGATTCCTCTAATACTGTTTTCTCTTACGACAAAAGCAGCGCCTGTTTATTGCTTTAGATGCTGGCAAGCAAAAGGGGGATCCGGGAATACCCATAATCACAGTCTACAGATAACAACACTTCATTTCCCTTTAAACCCTGTACTATGGGTCAGCATCATTACATTTTTCTTAGACTTGGGGAATGAAAATGTGTAATAGCAGAGACAAATTTCCTGCTTTTATGGCCTTATATTGCAGAAGAGAAATTCAGTGCTATGAATAAAATAAGACAGGGCAACACAGCAGAATCGGTCATGGACAGCCTCCCTAAGGAGGTGACATTTGAACTGGCCTGAATGACATCTTACAGCTATGCAGAGATAAGGTATCCAAGCACTTCAGACAACAGCCAAGGCAGCCCCAGGTAGGAACGAGTCTGGCTCCATGTGTTCCAGGGAGAGAACGACTGGAGGGCAGCGAGGGGGAAGAAGTGAGTTCAGCCAGGAGGGAATGAAACACATCATACATCATAGGCAAGAAGGCTGGATTTCACTCTGACAAAAGGGGGAAAATTTCTAGAGGCTTTTACAGAGGGAGATAAGACAGAAAATGATCTGCCTCTTAAAAAGACCACTGCGATTGCCAAGTGGGAAATGAACCCCATGGGGATAAGAGAAAAAAGGGGCAACCAGTTAGGAGGCTAGGTCTGAGTTGCCAGTTGTGGAGATGGAGAGCAGCAGAGCAGCTGCAGGCAGAGCAGGACGCCTGGGCAATGGGCTGGATGTGGGAACTGAGAGGGGAAGAAGCATGCATGATCCCGGTCTCACATGCACAGGAGGAGCCCGATGCCACCTTACTGAGGCAGGCAAGAGGGACAGAAGAGACTGGGATGTGATATTCTGTGTGTCAGCCATTGTTCTAAGTGTTTACATGTACTAGCACAAGGCAAGCAGTATCACAATAATTATCCTCATTTTATACAAGAACAAACTGAGGCAGAAAAGTAAAGCAACTGCTCAAAGTCAGAATGCTACGTGGTTAAAGCTTGACTCGAATCCAGGGACTTGACTCTGAACCATTAACTATATTTAGACACATATAAGTATTTCCCTGAAAAATGGAATCATACCACACTATTTTACAACTTACCACAATTTAATTAGGTTGTTTTAACTGAAAATCACAGAGAGCAAAAATAACTAGGCTTTTAAATTTTATTTAGAAAATGAAAAAAATTTTTCTGAAAAACAGGCAAAAATACAGCAAGATATAAAATGGTTACAAAAATCTCCCTACTATTCATCAAAACAGTTCAAAAAGTGGCAGGGTATTTATTTTCCAACAATCGCCAATGCAGTCAAATTACAGGGTTGAACACTTTGCTTTCAGCCAAATCATAGGCTACTAGCACCCCCAAGGACGCTGTTCTATGTTAAATAATATTTATAGCTCAATAAAAATCTGTGATTCCAGCTAATCAACAACAGAAATAAACAATTAAATTGGACATGCAATAAGCCTACTTGCAGAGACTAATATACACACCTCGGAAACAAAGATGTCAGAAAAAATAATGTCACTAGAAGACATCCTTCAAAAGCCAAGAGTCTGAATTGTGGTCCAATATGTATCCAACAGCCCACATGGTAATCACAGACAGCAGCAGCAGCAGGAACAGCTATCAGGAGATTCAGAATTTTAGAACTTTGAGGGTGTCACTTTCTAAGTATCTAATGACAATTAGTTCAATACAAGAATTACTTCCTAAGTATACAATAATAATTAAAATTGCAGAATTAACAGATTTTTTTCCTTCAAAGTTGCCAACTGATAAACCTCAAGTTTAAGAAGACACACATCCTGCAACCACCTTTTAGAAGCCCTACTTTTTATGAAAGGTTGCTAAAACATGCTGTGTTTTGCTTTTCTTCCCTCTAGGAAATAGTGGTCTTTTAGAAAAGTGCTAATGATAGCTGAAATTTAAAGAAAACAATTCCTCTCCAATAGCATTTTAAATCAGAAAGAAAGATAAAGGCACCACATCAAAATCAATATACCCGACTCATATACCCAGGAACTCCACCCTGGGCAGTGGGTGGTGTCATCCCCAAATAAAAGGTGGAAGGAACAAATCTGCAGAGATGTGCTTACTCTGCAGAGTGTAGAACTATAAATACCTGCGGATACCTAGAAGAAATCCAGGAGGGAGTCAACTCAGGTCTCTTTCCAGAAGACTTGAGATTTATGAGCATATAAGCAGTAAAGCTATGGGCGCACAATGTCCCAAAGACTGTGTGTAGATAGAAAGGGACAGAATCTTGCCTAACACAAACATTTAAGGTTGAGGGGAAAAGATTAATCTAAATCCCCAGAGGTAACCAGGAAAGCCTGATCAGAAAGACAGAATGAGAACCTTAACAAAGAGGTTTCCGAGAAGCCAGGGAAGAGAGCTTCAAGAATTGAGTAGTCTGTGTCAAACGTCACATGAAGGTCAAAGAGTGAAATATCGAGGCTGGCATCATGGCACAGCAGGTAAAGCCACTGCCTGTGATGCTGGCATCCCATATGGGCACTGGTTTGAGTCCCAGCTGCTCCAGTTCCAATTCAGCTCCCTGCCAATGGCCTGGGAAAAACAGAAGAAGATGGCCCAAGTGTTTGGGCCCCTGCATCTACATGGGAGACCTGTATGAAGCTCCTTGCTCCTGGCTTTGGCTTAGCCCAGCCCTGGCTGTTGTGATCATCTGGGGAGTGAACTAACTGATGGAAGACTTCTATCTGTCTCTCTCTCTAACTGTGACTTTCAAATAAATAAACAAATCTTTTTTAAAAAGAGTGAAATATGTCCCCAGTATACTACAGACTCAGGTTTATTTTGGAAAAGTTAAAATACTGCCTGCCTAGACTACTGCTTACAATGTAGGTGATTGCACATTTCTGCAATATAGTCCTTAATTACAAGATCTGACATATTGAAAGCGAGCTGGGCTTGTGCAAAAGTAGAGGAAAAACATATTTTGTCCAATATTCTCCCATTTTTACTTCTCAAAGTCATATGTGGGGATGGACAATTTCAAATGATATCAAATCCTTAAAATGCGTCCAATTCAGGTTGCTTGATGACATAAAATGAGCAAGCTTAGGTTTCAAAAAAGTAAATTTAGATCCTGCATAATCTCAGATTAGAAAGAATTAAATATGAATATCAAAAGTCTAAATCCTAGGTCTGACACTAATACATGAAACTCATAATACATTCAACAAATAGGTGAGGGCAATCTGCATGCAATGCATTGTTCCAGATACTTGGGCCATATCTACAAATTAAAGGCCTCCTCTCATAAAGCTTAAATTCTAGTTGGAGAAGACAGACTAATAAATGTATGAAGAGAATTTTATAGTACCTAAAAATCTGGATCACACGTAGTTTTGCAGGCCAGCATGGGGACTTGGCTTTTAGACCAGGAGAGGTGGGGAAACACAAAAGCAAGGAGTTCTAGTGATGGGTGACTGGATCTGACTTACACTTTTAAAAGATCCATTTGTTGGGCCAACAATGGAGTAAGATAGGGTCGGATTCTGGAGTGACACTGAAGGCAGAATAGCCAAGGTGCCTTTCCAATGAACTGGGTATGTGGTATGATACAGAAAAGGCAAAGATGTGTGGAAAGAGAGACTTGTCACCTACTGGGATGCAGAGGCTTAGATGGGGGGGGGGGGGGTAGAGAAGCAGATCAGTGGTTCAACTTTTGATGTCACATTAGAGACACTTCTAGACACTGAGCTCGATGGATCCAAAGAGAGAAATAGGGGAGATGTCAACATATAAATGACATTTTGGCAATAGATAGAAAAAAGGTTCAGGGAGAAAATCCTAGGATCTGCTACCAACTGGAGGTTGGGGCAGGAGGAGTAGAGAAGCTGGCAGCTTCTGGAAGAATCTAAGCTATTCACATTTCAATTCATTCAGTAAATAAATGTGAGAATGCATCCTCATATTCAAAGTCACATGCAGGTTTAGAGCTCATCTCGCTGAGGATCAACATCAAAGTCAATGAAAGTATCAAATTTTCAGCTCTGGGTTGTAGGACACATGAGAAAGGAAAGATTTAATGTACAGAGAGAATACAACATAAAGTCAACTCGCTAGTTTCCCTTGATGTCCTAAGAAACAGAAACATATTAACCAAACCATTCTTATATTCCAAAGATTAGGCTCCCAATGAAAAGTACCTCGCATTTCTGTAGCCACCGCCAGAGTCTGAACTTTTGGTTGGCTCTCATCTTGGCTTCTGTTCTCAGCATGTGAATAATGAGACGATTTTTGTTTTGTAGAGCCACATCAAGAGGTGTTTCTCCCTTAATATGAAAGAAAGCATTCAATTACATTATATATATATAAATATATATATATGCTAACCATGTTTTTTTTTTTTTAACTCACCAGGATCACAGACTCAACACATTTCTTCCAAGAGTATCTAGCTATTAGTGTTTATATCTATTTTGTGGTAATCGAAGACAAATTCATAGCCTATCTTTATGTTAACTTATCATTCTTCTAAGTAAAGATAAACTAAAGGAGGTAAATACCTGATCATACCTTAACGTTTCGGATATCCAGGCTAGAACCAGCCTCCAAAAGTTTATGAACTGCATTCACATTTCCTGCTGCAACTGCCCAATGAAGTGGAGTGTTTTGGTGGATTTTGTCAACCACACTGAGTGAAGGATTAAATTTTAAAAGAAATCCAGTGGGTTCTGGCCTGTCTCAAAGCAATAAAATACCAAGGGGTGTTATCAGACATGATGATTTGAAGAGTAAATGCAAATAATAAAGCTTTTAAGGTAACGCATCAATTAACCGATTAGTAAGTGTTCTGAACAACTGGGGGGGGGACTTCTTTATACAGAATTCTAATCTAGTTATTCACAGGAGAAATTTTGGGGAAAAAAGACATCTATAAAATGATAGTCTATTGGCCGGCGCCGCGGCTCACTAGGCTAATCCTCCGCCTTGAGGCGCCGGCACACCGGGTTCTAGTCCCAGTTGGGGCGCCGGATTCTGTCCCAGTTGCCCCTCTTCCAGGCCAGCTCTCTGCTGTGGCCAGGAGTGCAGTGGAGGATGGCCCAAGTGCTTGGGCCCTGCACCCCATGGGAGACCAGGAGAAGCACCTGGCTCCTGCCATCGGATCAGCGCTGGCCGCAGCACACCGGCCGCGGCGGCCATTGGAGGGTGAACCAATGATAAAGGAAGACCTTTCTCTCTGTCTCTCTCTGTCCACTCTGCCTGTCAAAAAAAAAAAAAAAAAAAAAAAAAAGATAGTCTATTATACAGGTAATATAATTTTTTAAAGATTTGTTTATTTGAAAGGCACAGTTACAGAGAGAGAGGAGAGGCAGAGAGAGAGAGGGAGAGGTCTTCCATGGCTGGTTCACTCCCTAATTGACCGCAATGGCCGGAGCTGCGCAGATCCAAAGCCAGGAGCCTGGAGCTTCTTCCGGATCTCCCACATGGGTGCAGGGGTCCAAGGACTTGGGCCATCTTCTACTGCTTTCCCAGGCCATAGCAGAGAGCTAGATGGGAAGTGGAGCAGCTGGGTCTTGAACCGGCGCCCATACGGGATGCCGGCACTGCAGGCGGTGGTTTTACCTGCTAAGCCATAGCACCGGCCCCAGATAACATAATTTTAACATCAATACAGTGGAATAACTGTTTTGTGTTTTAGACTTCATGTTATTTTTCTACTGGTTAACATATGTTTTTAAAAATTTATTTATTTTTTGTTTGAAAGGCAGAGAGAGAGAGAGGGAGGGAGAGAGAGGGAGAGAGAAAAGGAGAGGGAAGGGGGGGGAGGAAGGGAGGGAGAGACCTTCCATATGCTGGTTCACCCCCCAAATGGCCACAACAGCCAGAGCTGAGCCAATCTGAAGCTAGGAATTAGGATCCAGGAGCTTCTTCTGGGTCTCCCACATGGTTGCAAGGGCCCAGGCACTTGGGTCATCTTCTATTGCTTTCCCAGGCCATAGCAGAGAGCGGGATCAGAAATGGGGCAGCCAAGGCTTGAATGGGCACCCATATGAGATGCTGGCATTGCAGGCAGTGGCTTCACCAGCTACGCAACAGCGCTGGCCCCTGTATTTTTTTTTTTTTTTTGACAGGCAGAGTGGACAGTGAGAGAGAGAGACAGAGAGAAAGGTCTTCCTTTGCCGTTGGTTCACCCTCCAATGGCCGCCGCGGCCGGCACACCGCGCTGATCCGATGGCAGGAACCAGGAGCTTCTCCTGGTCTCCCATGGGGTGCAGGGCCCAAGTACTTGGGCCATCTTCCACTGCACTCCTGGCCAAAGCAGAGAGCTGGCCTGGAAGAGGAGCAACCAGGACAGAATCTGGCACCCGGACCAGGACTAGAACCCGGTGTGCCGGCGCCGCAGGCAGAGGATTAGCCTAGTGAGCCACGGCACCGGCCCCATATTTTTTTTTTAATTATGGATTTAAGTTTGGCCAGTATTAAATGTTATTTATTTAATTAAAGAGGAAATGCATAATGTTATTTTTGAGGAGTTAAACCAAGAGATAACTTGACATACTCTCTCTACTCATTTATTAAATAAAACAGGTATAAATATTATCCTAAAATATTTAGAAAATTATGAACTAGAAGAAGAAAATACTTTACTTTATCGCCAATACATTCTCTTCCTTCATGACTACAAGAGATTATTTAATAAAATAGTATTCTATTTTAATTATTCTATCAAGATCTTTAGATAATATATCATTCCTTAGAGTTAACAAGGAAGATAAAATGCTTTTTGACAAAATTCTGCCCCAGCCCCACTACTCCATGAACAAAAGGAAAACAGCATTAGAACTCAGTTATTAGAAGAAAGAAGTACAAATAGAATCAGAAATTCAGTATAACAGACAAACTGTAGCGCTTGCTCATATTTGCATAAAATACCAGCAATTGGACCACACTTGTAGTTCTAAGAAACATACGTAGGAAACTTTAAATATGTAAATGTAAATGCCTGATGAAAACACACAAACACTCTCTTCATAGAGCAGTTACAGTCAATATTGTCAGAGCAGCCAATAATGATGCCAGGGAATCTTGAAATTACCGTTTTCCTAAAACAGATTTATTACTCAGATTGTAAATTATGAGAACATTTAAATTTATAGCCATTTCTAAAATGCAAAAGAGGAAATATAAGTTATGTTACTATAAATAAGTTTGTTAAGGAACTGCTATCTGTTCTTTAAGGGGACTCTTCTTCTTACCAGTAGTTTTCATATTACCGTGTATTTCAATAGTACCTTTTTAACTACAGCTATAAGACTGTATCACAATCACAAGGCAAAAAATCTTACTGTCTTGAGAACATACTATCATCTCTCATAGACTGAGATACTTAAAATCATATACACAGAAAATAAACTGATGGAATCAAGAATCAGATTGAGGCAATTCTATTAGACTCACCCAATTACTTTTTGAGCTGATAACATAAGAGGTGTCTGCCCATTTACATCTGTCATATTCACGCTCTATTCAAACAGAAGAATTGATTAGCATAACCATAAACACAGTCAAAATTCTCTTTCTTCTCCTGGTAGAAATACATTCAGTGCTATCAGTGTGTCTACCAGAAGAGTTCAAGTATCATGTGAATAAAAGAATGTTGTGTTTCAATTCCTTAGGGTAAAAACCCATGGATTTCTATAAGGTATTTTAAAAGGGGAAATCTGAGTACATGATGTAAAACATTATATGATGTGAATGGAAGCCACCTGGGGGAAAAGTAAACTTGCTAACAACATCAAATATAAGAGATGTAGAGAGCTTGGAAGTCATCCAGCTAGACCTTAACTGACAGGTTAATTCCCACTATCTTTTCTTACACAAAGTCATCCTGTTCTACTCAACACTTTCTGTAACAGTAAACACTCCCTACCTTCTGATGCCAATTGAGATTTTGGATTTATAATATTAAGTTTCAAATAGTAGAATATGAATAGTTCTTTTCTATTTTCTGAATTAGAGGAAAAAGGAAATCCTAATTCCATGAGAGTATTTTCCTTTTAATAAAATAGGTCTAGGTTTTTGATACACAGTTAAGTCTCCAATCAAGCCAAAGAAAAAGAATTTCAATTACCAATGATTCTTAGGAGCTCTGGAAAAACAGAACTTGGAAAGGAGCCCAAAGAGAAGCAGAAATGATTCCTCCTCATATACCATTCCAAAATAAAACCCAGGAGGTTATAATTATTCTACTTCAATTGGCAAAGTCTGAGAGAAAGTACTTATTTAATGGGAGCACTACCCTTGCAACAGCATTTGTGCAAACATGTTTCCACTATGGTTACAGGAAAGACTGCTAACATACCAACTACTCTGTTACCAGGAAGCCCATGCCAGGCAAGTATAGCTGACAGTGAAACTCCCACTGCCAATAACCTATAATTTAACCTATGCCTCTTAAGGCAAGTCAATTTTCCTGAAATTACTTTAGAGAACAATAAGAAACACACATTCAAATTGGATCCCATTTGGGCTCAAATAATGAAAGCAAATGATGGGTTAATCTGGTGATCTGACTACCATTCCTACATTCAATCAGAAGAAAAATATAGGCTTTGAAGGCATGTTTTTGAAAAACTGCAAATTACTAGGCTCCTAAGAAAAACAAGTTTCAGAAACATCTATTATATGTTACTGAGCTAAATGACCTGTCTTTTATCTCCAGTGAAGCTGGAAAAGCAGTAGTCAAGAGCTACACATTTACTAAGGCTAATTTTTAATATCTGGGTACCCATTAACTTCCACTTTAAAAACAAGGACAGACTATCACTAATAATCTTCCCAGTCTCTCAGGTTGTAATAGCTGGAGTGTAAGACACAATTCAAAGCATACCTGTCCCTTTGAGATGAGATATGCTATAATAGGCATGTGTTGAAATAAAACTGCCAGGTGAATACTGCTGAATCCCTCTCCATCAATGAGAGCTGGGTCTGCACCATGCTGAATTAATAATATGACCATAGGTAAATGCCCTTGTCTGTAAATAGAAGACAAAAAAGTATGCTATATTCTGCGCCATCCAGAAAAAGAAAAAAAAAATGCAGGGAGAAATTGATACTCCTAAGACACGAAGAATTTTGATTAGATATCAAGGAAATTTTCTAGCAGCAGGATTTTTGAAGCACCAGAGGTTGTCTAGATATTTGACTTAGAGCCTCCAAACTTCGAACTACAAGGATAGTCCTCGAGGGCAAGTGACGGATCTGATGACCTCCAAATCTACCTCAACCACATTGCTACCACGTGCAAATAATTTTATATGGCTAAGGCTAATAATCAAAATTTTAAAACCTCTTAGACTTCACTGTTGCTATTTAAAAAAAAAAAAAAAAATCATGAGCCAGATGTGTGGAAGTATAAAACTTACAGAGAATGAATAATATCATTAAGAACCATATATGCTTATACCTGAATACAGCAGGCACTGTCCTTCAGTAGTTTAAAGGGTAAGTTACCCCTAGATTCTGAAAAACTCCTGGTTATAATGAAAAGACTGAACTTCTTGCTTTACATGAACAATTATGCACTTAATTTAGGTCATGTCAACTCTACTAACCAGAGAATGGAGCTAAAATAAAAGGAAAAGCTGTTTAGTATCCAGATTTATTAATTTCAGCTTCTGAAGGCCAATACACATCAGAGAAGAGAGGACAGTGATCCAACAATATAAATGTTCTAATAAGTTGACCAACTCAAAATTTCTTATTAATCTTGCACTAACCTCCAACCAGTGGACCCATAAGGCCCCAAAGGATATAGAGATACACTTTACATTTACTTGAAGAAGGAATAAAATTTGAAATAAAATTGAAACTATGTAAGTTTTCAAATGGGCATATATCATTCACTGAACTACTGCTTTTATTTCATGTAACCAAATCCAAGACATATATTCTAATTATAAAAAGTAAACTATAAAACACACATTTAAGTCTGATAATCATAACGGTGCTCTAAATTAAACACCAAAAACATCCTTTCTTAAACTCTTTAAAACTACATAAATAAAGGGGGACAAAAAGAAAAGAAAGCCCTTCAAGCTGTTTGTAACTGCCATTTCCAACAGAGCAGTCACTCACCTCAAGTGTCTAATTAATTTTAATATTTAAAGAAACCTACCGGATGGCCCAGTGCAGAGGAGTTGAATTTAAATCTCCACCCAATTGATCTACAACAGCACCTCTTGAAATATAAAATCTGTTAAAAACAGATACAAATGAAAATAAGGTTTGAAACTTCATATTGAGAAAGAAAATACATTTTTCCTACTAATATATAAATGTTTTGGAAAAAAGAAGTATAACTCTAATATAGACGTTTGAAAGACTTACACAGCAGTGTCAAACAAACCTCTATGGTATATTCTTAGCATGCCGATGTAATTAGCATTCCATCACAGCTCACATGCCACATATATGATGCTATTCTCTATATATCCTAACTACCTCAGCAATCCTAAAATAGTTTATAGTATCACATATTCTATTTAACTTGGAAGGGGACAGGTGAAATCAGGAAACTTACAGTGGTTGAAAATTAGAGGCCGGCGCCGCGGCTCACTAGGCTAATCCTCTGCCTGCGGCACCGGCACACTGGGTTCTAGTCCCGGTCGGGGCGCCGGATTCTGTCCCAGTTGCCCCTTTTCCAGGCCAGCTCTCTGCTGTGGCCAGGGAGTGCAGTGGAGGATGGCCCAAGTACTTGGGCCCTGCACCCCATGGGAGACCAGGAGAAGCACCTGGCTCCTGCCATCAGATCTGCGCGGTGTGCCGGCCGCAGCGCGCCGGCCACGGCGGCCACTGGAGGGTGAACCAACAGCAAAGGAAGACCTTCCTCTCTGTCTCTCTCTCTCTCTCTGTCCACTCTGCATGTCAAAAAAAATTAAAAAAAAAAATTAAAAAAAAAAAAAAGAAAATTAGAAGTTCCACTTGAGAATGAATTCTAAAAGTAATAAAATATTCATTTAAAATCCTTTCAGCAAAGATAGATTTTTTTAATGATTTGCTATCTATTCTTGGGACACAGATGTTATGCACTGTATAAGGTGAACCTGTATGTTAATAAGATAGATTTTCTTCTATGGTTTATAGAAGGTAACCTCTTTACTTTAAAGTTCTTCTTCATATGTTATCTAAACAATCTGCCAGTTTATTTCCACATAAAAGGAGTTTGCCTGGGTGTATATCTGTGAGAATATCTCAAACTTTAGTCAATTTTAATTTTTTAAACTTTAAGGATTTAAAATATATAATACTATAATATAAATTACTCATATACAAATATGCATATATATTTTACTTGCTAAGATATAAAACAACAACAAAAAAACAATGGATAGGCAATAGTGCTTTATGAAGGGAAATCACTTTATACAATCCATATATGCCCACTTAAAACTGTTCCATGTTTAGTTTTTTAGAAAAAGGTTAAATTCCCTACCTACCTATTCCTCCTAGCATCACTAAGTAAGACATCTTAAGTTTCCTCTAAACTAGACACAAGATTCTACTATCCAGAGAAAATCCGTCATATGTTTTCTTTCAAAAAATTTTCACTTTTACTTCCTAAACTTTATCTTGGGTTTTATCTCTAGTTTTCCTTTTAGGACCAGTGAGGGTCCTGCCTTAATGTTCTCTAAGGTCCTTTTCAACTCTAGTTATTGTACATAGCAGAAAGTTTCAGGGATTAATTAACAACAGACTGCAGATGGTTCAATTCTCATACATGCACTTAAAGAAAAAGAAAAATGAAGGAGTGGTCCAGAATTAGAAACACACAATTAGCACCTGTACATCCCATCTTACCTTACAAGATCCAGCCTGTTGTTAATAGCAGCCCCAATGAAGAAGTGACACATTTTCTTTGTCCGGTTGTCGGACATCATATCCTGCATCCACTAACTCTTTACATCGTTCAAAAATTCCATATCTCAAATAAGAAAAAGGGGACAAAATTGATATTATTAAAATACTTTCAAATATCAAAATTTCTTCCTTTTACCATGTCCCTTTATTCAAACTTTCCTTCTGCCAACACAGAGAAACAAGAGTTATCCTCAGGGTCCACGGGGGTAATGGCCCCCTGAAGAAACTCAAATTCATGGATGTTCAAGTCCCTTATATAAAATGGCATGGTATTTGCATATAACCTACACACGTCTTCCCATATACTTTGGGACTGAACCTGCAGGTGGGAACCTGAAAACAGACAGGCACGAGCAGAATATAGTGCAAAGCGAAACAACAAAAGCAAACTCAGTTTACTGACTGATCAGATTAATCCATTTGGAGATGAACTTGATTTTCTTAAATACACTTTCACACTCACATATGCCATCTCCTTCAGTAAGTTTCACTTGATCTTCTAGCATGTCTCAGGAACACAGGGTGCCAGTTCCTGCCAGCAGTCTTAACTTTGAATCAAACCAAGCCCACACAATAACCTCACGATAAGGGAAAAAAACTAAAAGCAAATGTAGAACAGGAAATACTCAAGAACCAAAAACATGGGCATCCTATAGGTGCAGCACAGGGAAGAATGATCAGTCTTTCCTGCAGGAGACGGAGTATGATGCATAAGCTCTGTGTTTACACTGAAGGCTGACAAAAGGAAAGCAAAGCTTTTCAAGCACAGGGAACATCACACAGAGAAACATGGAACTGCATGGGTATTCAGAAAAATATAAACAGTTTAGCACTGTTAATGCACAAAGCCTAAGACAGGGATTGGCAAGAGATGTGACTAGAAGAAGTAGTCGAAGAACATACAGACCTTCTAGTGTATCCTACTAAGTTCAGACTTTATCTATAGTTCAATGGGAAACCAATAGAGGGTCTTAAAGAGGAAAGCACTAAGACTTTGAGTTTTCAGAGAGATCACATCAGTGGCAGTACGGAAACTGCTCAGAACAGGGGAAGGACAGAGACCGAGAGACCAGTTTAGAGGCGACTGCAATAAACACAGGTAAAAGACAACGAGAACCTAACAAGGGGACAGGCGATAGGAACAGAAAAGGAAGGATGTAATTGAGAGATATCTCTGACTGTCAGGAATGAGAAATACCTATTCATGATGCTATAACAAATTTTTAAGCCACTTATTAGCAATATTTCTAACAGAAACTTGAATGCTCAGTAGGCCACTGGGTTGTTTTGAAACTTACTTAAAAGGACCTCAAAGTTTCCACAGGCCCCCAAGGGTCAAAAGTCAATATCCACTTAAAGTAGTGGTTACCAGGGCCTCTGGAATCCATATTAATACTTGAATAGTTTTCAATATGCTTTGAAATTGACATACATAACACATAATAAAGTGTTAAAGCCTAATAGGCTAATGAATTACCAAACATCTTTGCTTTTGACAAAATCACATCAAGTTAGTACGGTGACATCAGTTCTTTTCATGCTGATTTACTAGAGCATGATCTACATTTGATGGGCAACTTAAAAGGCAGATTTTATTTGACTACTAAGAAAATGAACTAACACTTAATATAGTCTAATAGACAAAATATTTTAAAATATGTTCAATGGCAAGAAATGGAGGATATGTTAATCATTAATGAGATCCAAAAGGGTGAAAACGTTGGAAATAATTGTGATACCTACAATTTGAAAATCTTAAGGAAAACTTCAAAAATGGGACTTCCATTTTCAGTGCAAGCAAAACAACCCACTGTATGTTTCAAGTGGTCAGAAAATGTATTTCTACCTTATGGCATTTCTTCCAGTGCTCCCTGGACATAGGAAAAAATTCAATAAATAAATAATTGTTAAAAATATCTATAACATGTGAGTTCCATCTACATATTCAGGTTATAGCACATTTTAAGTTCAAACTCAGAGACTTGTTTTGTGTCATTTTAAATCACCCGTTCATTCAACAAACATTTACTGGGCATGCTTTACAAGACAGGAACTGTGCAAAACTCTGGAGCAACAAACAGGAAGAAGATATGCTTGTACAAAAAAAGCTTCCCTTTGCAATGTAACTGGGGAGCCTGGTCCATAAGCACTAAGCACTCTGATGCTGTAGGACAAACACCCTAAGTGTTAGTACTAACGAATTCCCAGTATGAAGTGAGGAAGGTAAACAAGTGGAGTGCCATGAATTATACATGTATTATCATAACTCAGCAAAACGTAAGGACAGAACAAAGTTTGAAAGACTTACTGAGTGGCTTTTACAATGTCACAGTTACTGGAGTCCTCTATAAGAGGAATAATCTCTCTCGCCTTGGCAAGTTCTTTGTCTCCGTGTGCGCAGACGCCGTGTCGACCAAACCCTGGAGGGTGGGGGCTGTGGCTGTGATTCTTGCACTGAAGAGTAAGAGTGATTTGAGAAAGCATACATGAAAATCAATGTCAGTTAAGGATGGGGGATGCTCAAAGTTTCTCAGCTTCCTAGAAGCATAAATATATCATAAACTTAACATGTATGACATTATATTTCTTTAAAAAAAAAAGACTTTAAAGTGTGACCTTGATTATGGTGATACTTCTGGCCATTCATTTACATAATAACCAATATAATCTCATAAATTATACAGATTCCTAAGCAGGAGTGGATTCAACTTTAGTAAAATATATTATTTTTTCCAAAGAAATGACATTTTTAAAGAGAAACTCCTCAATTTAATCCTTGCTAAGCCCACTAAGGCATTTGGATCTGGCTGAAAAGCCCATGAGAGCATTTCAGGCATGGATGATCCACATGAAGGATCTCTGAGATCCCAGTGGAAAGAAGGGGCCATCAAAGAAGGAGGTACTTCTCTCTGAACAGAGGAGAGAAGTTCCACTTTGCTTATGGCTAAATAGTGATGAAGTTTGTAGACTCTAAAGGCTTCCATAGCCTTGGCAGCTCATGTCAAGAGCCTCGGGTGATCACTGACGTCATAAGAATGTCAACTGTGTTTTTTTTTTTTTTTTAAAGATTTATTTATTTTACACAGAGGGGAGAGGCAGAGAGAGAGGTCCTCCATGGGGCCAGCACTGTGGTGCAGCGGGTTAATGCCCTAACTTGAAGCGCTGGCATTCCATATGGGTGCCAGTTCTAGTCCCAGCTGCTCCACTTCCCATCCAGCTCTCTGCTATGGCCTATGGCCTGGGACAGCAGAAGAGGATGGCCCAAGTCCTTGGGCCCCTGCACCCATGTGGGAGACCTGGAAGAAGCTCCTGGCTCCTGGCATTGGATCGGCGCAGCTCCGGCCATTGTGGCCAACTGTCTCTACCTCTCTCTCTGTCTTTCAAATAAATAAAATAAATCTTAAAAAAAAAAAAAAGAGAGAGAGAGAGAGAGGGGTCCTCCATCCGATGATTCACTCCCCAGTTGGCTATAACAACCGGAGCTGTGCTGATCCAAAGCCAGGAGCCAAGAGCCTCCTCTGGGCCTCACACACGGGTTCAGGGGCCAAAGGCCTTGGGCCATCCTCTACTGTCTTCCCAGGCCACAGCAGAGAGCTGGATGGGAAGAGGAGCAGCCGGGTCTTGAACTGGTGCCCACATGGGATGCAGGCACTGCAGGCGGCGGCCCCACCTGCCATGACACAGCGCTGGCCCCAGAATGTTAATTGTTAAATCAACAACAGTAAATCAACAACAGGAGGGGCTGGTGCAACAGGTTAATCCTCCGCCTGAAGCAACGGCATCCCATATGGGTGCCAGTTCTAGTCCTAGTTGCCCCTCTTCCAATCCAGCTCTCTGCTATGGCCTGGAGAAGCAGTAGAAGATGGCCCAACTCCTTGGGCCCCTGCACCAGTGTGGGAGACCCAGAAGAAACTCCTGGCTCCTGGCTTCGGATGGGTGCAGCTCTGGCCGTTGTATCCATTTGGGGAGTGAACCAATGGAAGGAAGACCTCTCTCTCTGTCTCTCCCTCTCACTGTAACTCTACCTCTCAAATAAATAAATAAAATCTTAAAAAAAAAAAAATCAACAACAGGAGGCAGTGTGCATTTACTCCCCATGTAGGACCTCTGTCCTTAATGAGTTGTACCATGAGAATTAACTGTAAAACTTGTTTTCAAACAGTACTTTATACTTTGTGTGGGGGGTGGGGGGCCAAATTGTAGAAATCTTTACTTAGTATAGAGTTGGTCTTCTGCAAATAAAGTTAATTAAAAATGAATCTTAATGAAGAATGGGATAGGAGAGGGAGTAGGAGTTGGGACAGGAGTGGGGGTGGGAGGGAGGGTATGGGGGGGGGTGGAGAACTACTATATTCCTAAAGCTGTACCTATGGAATTTGTATTCATTAAATAAAAGCTTTCTTTAAAAAAAAAAAAAAACTTGCTAAGCAAACTTAACAGATATTTATCCTCAATTTTAAAAGATGATTTAAAAACTTGCATCTTCAAAACAGGTTCCTTGGGAAACTATCAATTATTGCAATGACCTTACCTTAAAAAGTTTTTAGGGGCCAGTGCTGTGGCACAGTAGGTTAATACTCTGCCTGTGGCGCCGGCATCCCATATGGGTGCTGGTTTGAGACCCAGCTGCTCCTCTTCCAATCCCACTCTCTGCTGTGGCCTGGGAAAGCAGAAGATGGCCCAAGTCCTTGGGCCCCTGCACTCGCGTGGAAGACCGGGAAGCTCCAGGCTCCTGGCTTTGGATCAGCACAGCTCCGGCCGTTGTAGCCATTTGGGGAGTGAACCAATGGAAGGAAGACCTTTCTCTCTGTCTCTTCCTCTGTCTGTAACTCTACCTCTCAAATAAATAAATAAATACAATCTCTTTTTTTGAAGATTTATTTATTCATTTGAAAGTCAGAGTTACTCAGAGAGAGAAGGAGAGGCAGAGAGAGAGGTCTTCCATCCACTGGTTCACTCCCTAGTTGGTCTCAACAGCCGGAGCTGCGCCAATCTGAAGCTAGGAGCCAGGAGCCTGGAGCCTCTCCCGGGGCCCCAACATGGGCGCAGGGGTCCAAGGACCGGGGCCATCTTCCACTGCTTTCCCAGGCCACAGCGGAGAGCTGGATGGGAAGTGAAGCAGCCGGGTCTCAAACCGGCACCCATATTATGGGAAGCCGACGCCTCAGGCCAGGGCATTAACCCAACTGTGCCAGAGTGCTGGCCCCTAAATAAATAAAATCTTAAAAAAAAATTTTTAGAATTCCCATTCTGAAAAGAGAACAAGGTACTTTAAAAAATCCATGAAAAACTGAATGAAAAGGTAAGTTTAGTCCAAAAACTTTTGCACTCCATGCATATGATGAGTCTTAAAAAAGTTCATGGAAAATGCATGCTATGAAAAAACTATTCATGGATTTCAACATTTTAAAAAACACTTTTTTTTTTTTTTTTTTTTTGAAAATCAGTGAGAGGGAGGGAGAGAGGGAAAGAGAGAGAATCTTCCATCTGCTGGTTCACTCCATGAACGGTTACAACAGCTGGAGCTGGGCCAGGCTGAAACTGGGACCCAGGAACTCTATCCTGGTCTCCCACAGGGGTGGCAGGGACCTAAGTACTTAGGCCATCATCTGCTGCCTTCACAGGCATATTAGCAGGAATACGAGATCAGAAGAGTGGCAGTCAGGATTCGGTCTGACCTTCTGATACAGGATGCAGGCATCCCAAGTAGGGGCTTAATCCACTACCCCACAATGCCAGCCCTCAATAATTTTTTTGTACTAAAATAAACATGTTTAATTATTTTTCCATTAACTTCTTCAAGTATCTTCATATATAAAATACATGTATATATGCTTGCATAATGTAAATAATGAATATGAAATGAACTCCTATGTCACCCATGTGACACTGACAGGACCCAGAAGACTGTTTCCAATGCATGCTATGGTCTATCATATTCCCACACTACAAAAATGGTTTCCTGATCTTAGCAATAACTTTTATTTTTTGCTTTTCTTTAGTTTTATTCCTTATGTATACACTAAAAGTACAGATGTTTTTATACTTTTAATATTTATATAAATGGAGTCATACTACATGTATTCTTTATAATTTGTTTTCCTTAACATTAGACTTCACTCATATTGTAAAAAGCTACAACTGGCTCATTTTCATTGATGTAAAATGTTTGAATATATTGATGTACTACAATTAATGTATCTATTTTATTGTGATTGGATATTTGGATTTTCCCCAGTTTTTGACTATTACAATAATATTGCTATGTGCATTTTTATATGTCACTCTGGGTATATAAATATATATGTAAACAATTATTAAAGATTTATTTTTTATTTTTATTTATTTATTTATTTACTTTTGACAGGCAGGGTGGACAGTGAGAGAGAGAAACAGAGAGAAAGGTCTTCCTTTACCGTTGGTTCACCCTCCAATGGTCGCTGTGGCTAGTGCGCTGTGGCCGGTGCACCGCGCTGATCCGAAGCCGGGAGCCAGGTGCTTCTCCTGGTCTCCCATGGGGTGCAGGGTCCAAGCATTTGGGCCATCCTCCATTGCATTCCCAGGCCACAGCAGAGAGCTGGACTGGAAGAGGAGCAACCGGGACAGAATCCGGCGCCCCGACCAGGACTAGAACCCAGTGTGCTGGCGCCGCAAGGCGGAGGATTAGCCTATTGAGCCGCGGCGCCGGCCAAAGATTTATTTATTTATTTGAAAGGCAGAGAGAGAGAGAGAGAGAGAGAGAGAGAGAGATCTTCCATCTGTTAGTTTCCTCCCTAAATGGCCACAACAGCCAGGGCTGAGACAGGCCAAAGCCAGGAACCTGGAACTCCATCCAGGTCTCCCACAAGGGTGGCAGGGGCCCAAGTACCTGAGCCATCTCATGCTGCTTTCCCAGGTGCATCAGCAGAGAGCTGAATGGGAGGCAGAACAAGTAGGATTTGAACTGGCACCCATATGGGATGCTGGTTTTCTTGACGGCCGCTTCACTCACGGCACCATAATGCTGGCCCTATGTAATTTTCACAGCCATATATCCAGAACTGGAATTCTTGCTTAATATTTCTTCAAAACGGTTCTGGGAATTAAATTCCCACAGCAGAGATGAAAATTTTAGCTGCTCTAATTTTCACCAATACCTAGCATCACTAAAATTTGTAATTTTTATCAATTTGATGGTTCTGTAAACATCCCCATGGAGTTCTAGCTTGTATTTCCTTAATTTATTAATCAAGTTATATATGTTTCTATGTTGATCAGCCATTTAGATTTCTTCTTTCATAAAGAACATGTTTAGCAATTTCTCCACTTGTATTTTCCCGCATTTCTGTCATTTCTTTCTCAGATGGCAGTTATTATATATAATGGATACTAGCCCTGTGTCACATATATGCTGATCATAAAACTTAGTAGGGCCTTCTACTTTTGTGTAGGATGGATTGAATTTAATCTCTTGCCATTAAAGAAAACTAGACAAAAATATATGAAATGGGGCCAGCGCTGTGGCCTAGTGGGTAAAAGCTGCCGCCTGCAGTGCCAGCATCCCATATGGGTGCCGGTTCCAGTCCCAGCTGCTCCACTTCTGATCCAGCT